GCAAATAAAAAGAAATTATAAACTCAAACCTGCATATTGGGGAGTATCATTGTATTTTTGTTAAGAAAGGCCAATCACATTTTCTCTCGATATGACTGCTTGATTGTGCAGGTAATCTTTCTAGGTGTGACGTCACAATTTGATGCTAGTTTAAACAAGCTGTATACTCTCATTCAATGATAACAAGAACAGTAACATAATATGGCGATATCATAATATAATGTTTAGTCACTCTCTTTCTCTAACGATGTTACGTACAGAGCGCTCTTGTGGGAATCCTGGAACACCTGATAATGGAGAGAAGAACTCGTCGTCCTACCAATATGGCAACGCCATCTCATTTACGTGTAACGTTGGTTACACCATGCAAGGATCCCCGGTTCGCACGTGTCAAACTAACGGCGAGTGGACTGGTACACAACCTACATGCCCCAGTAAGTTAGACTCTTGTGTTATTTTAATTGTCCAACAGGGACAACAGTACACCGAATCTTTTCCTTTGCGACAGGTTTTCCTTCGTTGAAGAGATCGTAAAAATCCGACAATACGTCCTGAGCTAACATTAGTTGAATTTGGAGGTTCTTTTAGTTGGTTTTTCCTCGGGAAAGCGTGATAGCGAAAGCCGAAGGGGGCGTGAAGTCGGCAAGAATCAGGTTTAAAATCGTTTTCCTATGAGAAAATCACCTAACAATGTGGAAGACGTCGAAGGAAAAGGCACCAGCTGCCATATTTACTTTGTTTGTACTATAACTCTGAAAACCTCCAAAACTGACTAGTGAGTAATTAAAACTAGCAAATAAAACTGAAATGTTGTAAAAATTAGAATGTGTCATAATAATCTTGCCATCATAGATCATCAGAATGAGCGGAAAGCACTATTCGCTTGTGTGGTACATACTAAAAACATTAATTCGGTAGCTTTTTTTTACTTTGGTCCTATTCTCCCAGAGGAGAGCTAGGACTACGATGATGACGATTTTCTAAACTACATGTATAAAATAATGTTTCTAGTTGTTAGCTGTGGCGACCCAGGTATACCGGCTAATGGCGTCAGGTATGGAGATACCTTCACGTATCAAAGCAGAGTAGTGATGGAATGTGATCCTCAGTATAGACTTGTGGGTGACCTCACCAGGACCTGCCAAGCAGATGGTACATGGTCAGGGACACAGCCCACTTGTGAGCGTAAGTAGTAATACAATATTTGTTGGATATTACGAGCCGTGTCCTCGTTTTCTTGACCATCGAGACCATCCTTTGCCCATCAACTTCAAAAGTTGCGGATTTTAGCAGTAATGAAATTAGAAAGGAACACTCTCA